CCCCGGAATTTTAGGTGAAGCTGCCAGGCATCATATTCCAGCTGAAGGACACGTTAGCGGAGATCACTTTCATTTACTTGCAAAGTTTGTATTTCATTTTGCAGGGTTTGGCCTAATGTGAGGGCGGTTTCAGCTTTTTGGTTGGTTTCACGGAGAGATTTTTGAATTACTGCCAGTTGCATTTGCATCAGCTCAAGAAAAGATTGCATAGTTTCCATGTTAGTCATCGTGCCAAGAAGATCTGACTTACCAGCCTCCATTTCCATTTTGTGGGTTTCTTGTTGTCCAGCCGCCATTTTGCTATGCTCACTCTGAGAGGCTGACAGAGATTTTGGTTTAGATTCTGTAGAATAGAAGACAGTGATCCATCTAGAAGTTGGATTTTTCTCTTTCTCTGTGTTGTTCTTCTCTGTTCCCATAAGTTTCATAAGATTTTATGAGTAAAAGACAATAGTATTAATTTGAGGCGAGAGTTGGAAGAGCAGAGCTCGAACTTATGCAGCCATTTTGTTTGGCACCACGCCACGCCCCCCAATGGTGTTTTAAAAGCCATCTTGTGCTCGTTCCCCTCCCTAATCCATATACAAAAGTAGGCGTCCCACAAATCCAGTTTGGTAAAAAATTTCCCCTGGGACACCTCAGCCAGGAGATCCTTGATTAATGGGAGAGGGTATGCATTGGACATGGACATGGCATTGAGCCCTCGACAGTCCGTACACAGCCATAGGCCACACATGTCATGGTGTCAATTGCCTCTTCTACCATTTCATAGCCATCCTGTTCCAAGTCATCCCCCAATGGTGTTTTAAAAGCCATCTTGTGCTCATTCCCCTCCCTAATCCATACACAAAAGTAGGCGTCCCACAAATCCAGTTTGGTAAAAAATTTCCCTTGGGACACCTCAGCCAGGAGATCCTTGATTAATGGGAGAGGGTATGCATTGGACATGGACACAGCATTGTCCGTACACAGCCTCCTTTTTCCGGAACAGGACAGGGACAGCAAACGGGGAGGAAGCTGGTCAAATAAATCCCTGCGCCAAGTTTTTATCAATAAATTTGCGCAGCTCCTCTTTCTCTGTCGGGCTCATTGCGTACAACTTCTCTTTGGGCATACTGTGACCTGGCAAGAGTTCTATTGCACAGTCTGATTTACAGTAGGGGGAAGCTCGTCCGCTTCAGCATCCCCAAACACTCGGGCCAGGTCTCTGGCCTAAGGGATGGAGTCGAGCTCTTCTTGGGCAAGGCACACCGGCTTCAGCTCACAGGGTGGAGTGTCTCCCCACTCAGCCTTCCATTCATGGTCCTTACAATCTGGGGTAAGGGAAGTGTAACATGCCGGCACTCCACTTCACATAGGGATCATGGTCTTGTAACCAAGGGTTCCCCAAAACCATTAAAAACCGGGCCATCAGGTCAACTACAAAAGCCCGTTGTTCCCAATGGGACCCCACCCCCATGATCACTGGCACGGTTTGGTACTTGCAATCCTCCATAATGGAGGAGCCATCCATCTGGGTAAATATTAAAGAGTCAGAAAGGGCTTGCACTGGTACCCCCCAGCCCTGTGACTATGGCAGGGTTTATTATGTCTTGGGTGCACCCCAATTGAGTGGCGCTCTCACCCTCACCTGGGTGCCTAATTCAGGATTTACTACAGTCATGAAAAATAAAGGGGGTGGTGGTTCTCACTGATTTTGGTGTGGGTTGCTTTTGGACCTGCCGGGTTGTGCCCTTCACAGCATGTCCCAACCTTTTCCCTGAGGCTGGGTGACTTCCTCTCCACTTGAAGAAGCTTTGTCCAGGCTCTCCCCCATGTCAGCCTGGAGAGTTCTCGGTTGCTTGCCGCACATTGTCCCGGGCTTCCCCTGGGCCCCCATACTGCGCCACTCTGGAGGTCTTCCTTCTTTAGTCGGTTGGGCAGTTGGCGGCAAAATGGTCCAGCTCATCACATCTCAGGCCCACTCCTTGTCTCATCCTCTGGTCCTACACCAAATCCCGAAGTTTGACCTGCTGTTCTCTTGCGTCGGGTCCCGGGGCTTTGGCAGCCCCCTTTGGTTGGCACAGCTTAATTAGGGCGGCTCTGTTCTCAGCCTCGCTGGCTTCTCTCATCCAACCACTGAGGGTCAGGGGGGTTTCCATGACCCAAGACTTGTACCAGTAAGGTATGGTTCAGCCCTGCTTGGTAGTGCTCGATTAGTACTTCTTTGGGCCACCCCCGCACCTTGGCAGCGTACATCCTGAACTCGTCGGAATACTTTCTCACCGACCGGTTGCCCTGGCAGAGGTAGCGCAGTTTGGTTTGGGCTTTCTCCAATTCCATAGGGTCTTCAAACTGCCTCCTCAATGCCCAAATGAAAGCATTGACGTTGTGTAGGCCCAAATATTGTGAAGGCACACAAACCAGTCGGCTGCCTGTTCCCTCAGGCATGAGCTGATGTAGTCCACTCTTAATTTGAAGGGAAGGTGGGACCCCAGTCCCAGATGAACTTGCATGTTTGCAGCAGTAAGAACACCAACTTCTCCGGGCTGCCGTCGAACGTGGCATCCAGCAGCTCCCACTACCAGTCTGGTCTCAGTGGTGGGATGGTTGGAGCGGGAGCCCCAGGAGGTACCCCTAGAGGGGCTTGTCCCGGCGGGACTTGCACCAGGGGTCATGGGCCGGAGGTGCAGGCTGTGGCTGCAGCACTGGCTGTCCTTGGTCCGGTCTCTGCCATGCATCTCATGTTGAATGGCCATGGCGATGAGCCTGGGGAGGTCCAGCATCATTTCGTGCATCTCCCGTCATAGTTCCTCAGTCTCTCTGTGGAATTCGCGCCACACCCGATCGAGGTCCACTTCTTCCGGTACGGGAGGATAGTACAGGTCTTCCTGGAGGGTGCTTCCGTAATGCCATTAGAACGTAATCCTGCAAAGGTCAGGTGTTAGCGCCCAGCTCTCCTCGGTCCACATGGGCAGATGAGCCCATGAGTCCCTGGGTTTCACCCCGAGGTCTCTGGGATCGCTTCTGTCAGGGAAATAGCCGTAGTCCTCGGTTCAGTCACCGGGACATCCCCGTCTTCTTCGCCAACCATGGTGCGTGTGAGGTACAGGAGCTATAGTGCGTTCTAACAATCTGTCAGAACCCTGGAGCAATCGCTTCCCAATAACAGTCATTCAAAGAATAAAAGTTTATTGAGATACTGAAGGTATCCAGACTCTAAATGTTTTTTGTTAGAACTAACCCAAAGTGCACGAAGCACGCAATTATACCAAGCCCCCCTAACAGTCTTATGGTCTGGAGCCAATCACACCAAGGTAAGAGCCCACCGGAATGTAACGGTTCATTATTCCCAAGAGAAAGCTGACACCAGGAACTCATGGCCACATATCTACGTCTAGGGAGATAGGAGAGGGCAAAGCAAGCAAAAACGAAAATGAACATTCCAGGCTTCATCCCGTCACCCATGGCAACCAAGACCGATGCAACGGGTGGGTGGACACTCACCTTCCAGATCATGTGGGTCTGAGAGCATGAAATTTTGTGGATGCTGGTATGTTTGTCTTCTCACTGTCGCCATACAGTGATTTGTTATTTTCTCTGAATGATCTTCAATAAATTTTGTCAAGCCTTCTAAAAGCTGAAGTGTGGAGCAGCATTGTTAATGGGTGCCTCCCTCCCCTCCCTTAGAGCCGAACCAGAAACTGAAGAGGCGAGCTGTTCTTTAGAGTCCTGCTGAAGTATATAAGCTGTTCCTTGCCAACTTGAGTCCTGGAGCCCCTGCAGACTTTTGGCAGGAGAACCAACAGTGAAACTCCTGGTTCATACAGGATCTCCTAAACTGCCATGGGGGGGGGGGGGGGCTGCCCTCCACAATGCTGAATGCATTTTAGAAATGTTGATCCTTCATCTTTAGTAATCTGCCCTTTTTTACTAGCCCAAATTTAGTCACCAGCCTGTATGCATCATCCTGCTTCTGCCTTCAAAGAATTGATTGCACCAGATAAAATTACTATGAGTTATTTGCAAAGCTGCCTATTATTTTTAGCAGGAAACCCTCACACCCTGGAGACCAGTCCTGGTTGAAAAACACAGGTGAACACCAAGTTTTAATACCCTACAAAAAAATCATCAAGATCAGCAAAATTTAAAATCCCCAGGTTAGGTAATCTGCCATTAGTTGCCCTAACATTGCTCCCTGGTACTCATGCTAAGGGTGATGCCCTAACAAGATCATGGGCGAGATAGTATAATAAAAACAGAAAAAAGGAATAATGAGATGTAAAACCGGAAATGTGAGATGGGATGAATGAGCTATGGAAATTTTAAGGAAATGTGAGTGAACAAGCACTCTCCTTAGAACCACTGGGGTACTATTAGGAGGGCATTCCCATGGCTTACTTTAGATAAGGCAGAAGGATAGAACCCATTTTCAATATTAGGGACCAACCCCAGGGCTTGTCAGCTATCGATAACAGGATCTTTCTGTGTAGAAAGCCTTTACCTCACTTCTAAGAAACTACATAAGTGGGGTGTAGATATAGGTACCCCACTTTTCTCTCTGATGAGGATCCAGAGTGGCTTATAACTCCCCCTAATGTGACCCAACAAACTTCCATTGGCAGAGTGGGGATCTGAACCTGGGCCAAACCTGCCAGCCACGGAGTTCTGCACGTCAGTTTCATTCAGCGTTAAATTGTCTAAGGTAGTCTGAATTGCTTGCATGGGTTAGGCTGTGGCTCAGCAGCATGGCATCAGCTTTCCATGCAGAAGGTCCTAGGTTCAATCCCTGCAATCCCTAGTTAAAAGAACCAGGTAGTAGGTGATAAGGAAGACCTCTGCCTGAAGACGCTGGAGATCTGCTGTCAATCACAGAGACCCCAATGGTCTGACTTAAGGCGGCATCATCAGAATGATCAGCCTATGTACTATGTTCGAGTGGGTATCACTACAACTATTTATCACTCATGCTTGATGTCACAATGGTTCCTGCCCAGGACAGCACACTCCTTCCCAATTACCTGTAATCGCACAGCATGCTCATGCTTCCTTTTCATGTCATTGATGTACCAGGCCACACATGTCATGGTGTCAATTGCCTCTTCTACCACTTCATAGCCATCCTGTTCCAAGTCAAAATGCTTTGCTATTTCCTGGGACCAAAACAAGAGAGAGAATCAGAAGCTGTGAGGCCCTCTAACACTCTTTCCACCCATTAAGAATCCTTGTCCTTAGCTCACTGATCTCTGTAGACACTATATGCCACTTTACGGCCTGTCTACAATTCAACACAAACTTCTCTGCTGTTACATCAAAAGGTTTGTACTGCCTTTACATCAGATCATTAGTCAAACCGTGTAGGTCAGAGTGAGCCCTGAATTTACACAGCAGCGGCAACTGAATGGATGCCAGAAAGCCTCTCTCCAGAATGACTGTGTGTTGCTTCATTCAACAGCCTTGAGTGCAGGGGTTCTCTGCTTGACTGCCACCCTGATGTGAAAAGCGATTTTAGTTACACTCAGTCTAGAGATCTACACTGAATCCAGCTCTTAAGGCCTCATTAGCTGAATACAGCAGCAATTTCTGCTAAGCAAGTTCTCTGAGAATTGTTTCCTTATAGTGCAATGAAATATTACTGGTCAGACATCAGATCTTTTGCCAGCAGAACAGAGAACTTCCTTGAGCTAATGATTTTATTTAAAAATAAAACAGAACTCCTTTTTTTAGGGAAGAACATGCAGTTTCAGCTCCCTAAAAGAAGCATGACTTTTAAGACTGATTCTGAAGTAGCAGACCTGATGGGAAATCAGATTCTTGTGTAACTAATTCCCACAATATATTTGCCCATGGGCAAAAGCAATTCCCATGCCCACAAAACTATAACCCCTATAAAAACTCCCAAATTATGCCAAAACATACATTTTTTCCTTCTCTCTGGAAGGTGATTTTTTTCAAGATCCTAAATCTGTGCACTACTGCATTTCAGGAGGAGTATGCATATTATGAAATAATACAAATATTCATTCTTCAGAATTAAGCCATACCACCCCCAAGATCCCAACATTACAATGCAAGCAACCCAGAGCCATCACGCAGGTTACCTGGAGAAGAAGGTGATATTTCAGGATGCGCTGGACAGGCTTGAGGAGGTAGGAACCAAGAGGCAATGAGTGACGGATTTGTTCTTGCCTCTCACGAAAGAATTTAGCCAGTTGTTTATTCCTCATGCATTCGGTCAGAGCTGCCACAGAGCTGAAAGGCCAGAACCAGACTCTATTAAAGGTGCCAGATTCAAAACACACAAACATCTCACATACCAACGAAGGAAGAACTGAAAAGCACAGATTCAAATACCCTACAGAAGGGATCGGTGATGCAAGAATCTGAAACAAGGAAGTTGAGCAGACTAAGAGAGAAAAGCATCACAGCAACGTGGCACATCCTTTCACTCCTGCAGAGATGTCCCATGACCAAGTACAGGAGATTAGGAGATCCAGCGTGTTGCAAGAAAAAGCTCTCTCCTCCTCCTCCTCCCTCCAATGCTTTATAAGAAGCTGTTATTGTGAGCTAGTTTTAGTCTAGAAACACTTTGCAAAGTATTTTCTTCAAGGATGTATAAATTCTACAGCCCATTTAGCATTTCACAACCCACACACCTCAATCATCTACACATCCCAGTGAGATGGGGGCAGCCTTTCCATTGTGCGGATGGGAAAGGAATCCAACAGATGGCAGTGTGCCTTAAAACTATACAGCGTGTTCGTGGCTATACAGAGATTCCATTCTTGGCAACATTCAAAGTGCTAGCTTTTGCTGTAAATCAAGCAATAAAAGCACCACTCTAAGCCCAGGACAGTGAAGATGCATGAAAACATTTGAGCAACACCTCCTGAAATTGTGTGGGAGTGGGAAGGAGAGGAGGAACACTGAGCAGGGCTTCCTGCGGATAGGAATCACAAAATCACAGACTCAGAGAGTTGGAAGGGACCTCCAGGGCAATATTCCCTCTAAGCTGTGGAGTCTTGTGAGCAAAAATTCTACTTGGTGAGCAACTGGCATCAAAGTTGTGAGCAAGCGATTTGGCTACTGCATAAATTAGGTTACTCTGGAGCCATCCTTCCTGAGCTAAGACAAAAATGTGTGAGCCGGAGGCTGAAAGACTGTGAGCCGGCTCACACTAACTCAGCTTAGAGGGAACACTGCTCCAGGGTCATCTAGTTCAACCCCCTGCACAAGGCAGGAGATTCACAAATATCTTCCCCCTCCACACCCGTAGTGATCCCTGCTCCACGCCCAGAAGATGACAAAAAACCTCCAGGATCCCTGGCCAAACCAGCCTGGAGAAAAATTGCTTCCTGACCCCAAAGTGGCAATCAACACTTCCTTGGGCTGTAAGAAAGGGAGTGTACCTTCATTACAATGCATAATTTCTTTCCTCGTTACGACTAGCATTAAGCAAAATAAATTATGCAAAGTAAGCAGATTTGCATTATTTATTTATTTATTCATTCACTTTTTATCCCGCCCTCCCCGCCACAGGCAAGCTCAGGGCGGCTTACGATAAGGGGGTTAAAAACACATTAAAGCACAAACACAACAAGCATAGCTCACAATAAAATAGAAAATAGAAATAAAAATAAAAATAAAGTGCTGGTGACAATAACAACCCAGTGGCCATGATAGATGTTCCCAAAAAATGCCCCCCCCCCTCATCGGCATCCGGCGTAGTTAGTTCATATTATCCAGTTTAGTTAATGTTGGTTGATGTTGCTGATGTAATTTATGTTATTAGTGGTTGCTCCTAGTCGAAGGCCTGGTGGAAGAGCTCAGAGAATTCAATGTAATAACTTTTTACAATATAAAATGTATACTTCTGAAAAGGTGTCAACAAATAGCGATATACTGATATATTTTTAGTTAACATTTGAGTTAGCATCTTATTTCCACTAAGCATATTAAGCTATATAAATTCAAATCGATTTCTAGTTAACAGAATATTTCGTACGATTGCTAATAAACAAAGTCTTACAACTTCTTGTTTTATTTTGGTATTCTCATTCATTTCCAGGTACCTTAGATATTGAAGCTTTCTTTACTTATGATATCTTTTTGCTCTATCCCGCTGAGCAGGTAACTGTCAGGCTCGTTATGCATTTTATAGTTCACCTGCCATAGAGGAAGGAGGAGAGGAAGAGGGGTGTGAAAACCAAATGTTTTCGTTTTCCTAAATGCTTTGATGTGTCGCAGAGACCTGTTCTTTTGCTTTATTTCTGTAGAGGGGTACGTGCTTAGTGGGGGTGGGTGGGTAGTTGACCGTTGTTTCTGACGGGCAAATGCCGTGGGGTGATTGGGTCCTGATCTTTAGTGCCTTTGCTTGAACACAACATACCTGCAATCTCCGCACTTTCACCTTCAGTCCTAACGAAGCTCGTGTTCAGTATGGTATTCTTCAATGTCTCAGTAAACTAAACTTTCTTCGAAGCGAGTGGTGTTGAGAACTGATTTAACCAGGATTCTGACAAATCGTTAGGACCCGCTTTTCCTTCCTCGACCTCCTGCACCACAGCTGTGATGAGCGGAGGGATGGGGAAGTCCCTACAACTGCAGCAGATGGCGCCGTGCCTGAGCAACGGACAACGGCAGCCCCGGTGACGACTGTGGAGTCCAAAGGAGCGGAAGGCGGGGCGCAGACCAGAGACTCCTGGGTGCTGCTCCCCACCTGGGCTGAGCCCACTTGAGTGGTAACTCCCGATCCAAGGTTCGAGAGGTTCGCGTATGATGGCAGCCGAAGGCACTACTGACACCCTGGGGATGGGAAGGCAAGCAAGCGCAAGACCTCCGAGAAAAAGCCCAAGTCACAAGGGGTGCAGATGAAGCAACCCAAAGCGCTTCAAGGACGGGAGCAGGGAGAGTCTGATGGCACCTCCTCCAGCGGAGATGAGCCCAACGCACCGGCAGGAAAGGATTGGGACCTGCTGTGAAGGGCACAACCCAGCAGGTTCGAAGGTCCCATGCACCAGGTTTGGAGAGAACCTCTCCCCCTTTGTTCTATGTAACTGTGACTGTAGTAAACCCCAAGCAGGGCACCCAGATACGGGTGAGAGCCCTGATTGACTCTGGGTGTGCCTGGGACTTAATCAGTCCAGTGGGGTACCCGTCCAAGTATTGCCAGAACCTATAATGTTCACCCAGATGGATGGGTCCCCAATGAAGGAGGTGTGCAAGTATCAAACTGTGCCCGCGGTGATGGGGATGGGGCCCCATTGGGAGCAATGCCCATTCATTATTAACCCTGCTTCAAAATTCTCAGTGGTGCTAGGCAACCCCTGGCTCTGAGATCATGATCCATACATTCAGTGGAGTGGAGGGGCCCTGCACTTCCCAGACCCCTGATACAAAGCCCGTGGGTGGAATCCCAAGTGAGGGGAAGTGCCAGTTCTCATTCCAGACCGTGTTTGCTTGGTGCAGGGGGAGCGCCATCTCATCCCTCCTGAGTACAAAGAGTTGGCTAGAGTATTTGAAGAAGAGGAGGCAGACGAGCTTCCCCCCCCCACCACCAAAATTCGGACTGTGCTATAGAGATTTTGCCAGGGCACAAAATGCCCAAAGAGAAGTTGTATGCAATGAGCCCAGCTAAGAAAGAGGAGCTGCGCAGGTTTATAGATAAGAACCTTGCTTGGGGTTTCATCCCCCTGGCCTCCTCCCCCTTTGCTGCGCCTGTCCTTTTCTGAAAGAAGGAGGACGGTGGGCTGTGGCTGTGCACAGACTACTAGGGCTTAAACGCAGTGTCTATGTCCAATGCCTACCGCCTCTCACTCATCAAAGACCTCCTGGTGGAAACTTCCCAGGGGCGCATTTTTCCATCCCCCTAGGGGGAGGTTTTTATTGGGGTTTTTTCCAGACTACAAAACTACAACAGAAAATATAGGAAAGGGAACTACATCTAGGGAATAAAGAAAAAAGACCCACAACTAATTAAAAACCCAAGAGTAGGAGATCATACATCAGCTTAACACCATGCTATTTTCAAAAAGCTACTAATAATACAATGAATTTAGTCGGTTATGCTAGATTAATTATCGTTTAACCATCCCTTTAACTGTTTAAAGAAATTCCCAGAGCATCCCCAAGTTATTTCAACATTTTTTCAGGCACAAATCAGAGTCCTTCAGCCTTTATTTATTCTTATCTTTTCTAATACTCAGTTTATAAGGGCTTTTGGGGGCAGCCTCTCCCTTTTCAGAAGGGGAGTCCTCGTCCGAAGACCCCGAGCCCAACTCTTCTGGTTCCCCAAGCTGTGTCCACAGAAATTCACGTGCTTTAAAAGCAGAGTCAATCTTTTCTTTTTTATTGTTAATCTTAAAAATGACGCCTTCTGGGGTTAACCACCTGTAACTGATGCCATTTGTTTGTAAGAAAAGGATTAATTCTTTATAGATCTTTCTCTTCTGTCTTATATCAAATGGAATATCTTTCAAAATCCTAATATTATTGCCCCCAATTTTCAAGGGTGTTCCCGAATTTGCTTTCAAAATAGCATCTCTCACATGTCTCTTCGAGAATCTGACCACTATTTCC